CCTGGAAGAGAAAGTAGGAGGACATAAAATAAGTGAGGAAACTGAGTCATTAGGGACAGAGTGCATGCTTACTTAAGTGAGTTAAACATATACTTACCATGTAATCTACTTAGATAGGCAGCAGGCATCCGAAATAGGTTATAGTAAATCTGCTTTTCCTGCAGCCTTCTCCAACTTACTAAAATACAAACTAATTCTACCACACACTCAACCCTAGAAGAAGTCACCAAATCTTGATTTTTCTCTAGTACACTTCACCGTCTATTAGCAAATATCTACAAACTGTTGTACATCTCACTGCTTCCAGGCTTCCCTAAAGCCTGTTACAAGGGCTTCCTAACTGATCTCCATACTACCTCCCTTGCATCCCCATGGTCGACGCTGAACACAATATTAAAGAAGTTCTTTTAAATCTTCAGTCAATTTATATCAACACTATGTAAAATTCACTGCCTCCAACTGACTGAAGAGTAAAAACCTGAAGTCCTTTCTATGTTCTTCTTGATGCCACATATGTCTGCCTTTTCCCTCTATAATTTCCTTCCCAGTCAACACCCTAAGCCCCTAATTCTCCTACACTGCCTAGGCTGTCCCCTCGTTTCCATCTCAGGGCCTTTGCATATGTTATCCCTTCTGTGTCTGAGGCGCTGCTCTCAAATTCATGTCATCTGTCATGCTCTCACTTATTTTCCTGAAGGAGGGTGCAGTTCATGGTGGCAGAAAACAGCAAAAGCAGCAAAAGCAAAAGGGAGGAGCAGCAGAGAGCAAGACCTTTCCCTCCCTTACACTGTATACCACGTACCCTCCACACGTCAGTGTAGCACTCACATCCACAGTCCTAGCATTGGAACATGAATCAATCAAAACTTCTAGACGCCTGTCCGTGACTGCACAGGCTTTGGGAGCACACCGAGACACAAACCACAACACATCATACTATGAACATACCAATTTCTTTGACAGATATTGAATCAGATTTATTTTTCCAGCTGTCTCACTAGTACAGTGGCCATAAGGCCTCTGTTTTGACAGATGATCAGAAAGTATGCTGAGGGTAGATATACAAGAGAAATTTTCATCTCTTTCTTCCTCCCATTTTACTTTAAATGCTGTATTGTAAAAGTCTAGTTCATAAAGGTAATCAAGTCATGCTGATAACATCACACAACAGGCTTAAAGGCAACAATAAAAATACAGAAATAAACTAAAAGAAAAAGAAAACCGGGACTATGCTGGTGGAATAAAACGATACAATAAGCCTGGAGCATTATACTGCTTATCATTTCAAAGGGTTAATAGACTGTTCAGGCAGCTGCAAGCCTAGGAAACACACATCTTGAAAAAGATGAACCATCAAGACACATACATCAGCAAGGAAAATCTTGCCCAAGGGCTTTGCAAAGGGAATGTCAAGATTTGATTTAGATTTTAATGGGATTATACTGGCCAAGCTAAAAACTGCCTATATTCCCTTGAAAATGGGATTGCCAACTTGGAGTCAAATCTGGTCTTGATTGTTTTTATAAATAAAGCTGTACTGGGATATAGTCATGCTCATTTGTTTATGCATTGCCTCTGGTTGCTTTCATACTACTATGGAAAAGTTCAGTATATGTGACACAAACCATAATGTTGCAAAGCCTAAACTACTGACTATTTAGCTTATATTGAAAAAAAGTGTTATCCTCTTTTCTGGAAAAGTCAAAGTTGTAAGAGATTATTATATTAATCCAGGCAACAAAGAATGGATTGGACATGTTCTGAAAATACTGCTGAGAGGACATGAGGTCTAAGAGATTATAATCTCAATTAGATGCTGTAAAATTAATCCAAGAGTTTTTCTAAATAAGATTTAAATTATTAAATGCCTAACAGTCACATAAAGGCCACTGAAATTCCCACATAAAATATCTAAATTTAAGCAATATACTTGACAAATTCAGAAGTATTTGACCCATCAAGGGTTCATATCTACCAATTCTGATTCTCAGCAATATTAAGGTACCTCCTTCAGTGGCCCAACGTCTAATTTGAGATCTTTAAATTTAACCCATGAATGATTCCAATCCATTAAAGACTACAGGAAGAAAAATCACTAACATCTATAAATAATCTTATATTGAAGTGAAAAATTTCTACATAAGAAAATTAGACTTTAATCATATAAGAAACTACAAGTTTTGTTAGACTATAAGTAGCTTTAAGAATAACTACATAATATGAAACATAATGACAAATTTTTAGTCATCATAACTGAATCTATGCTACAGTTTGATACTGTTTGAACATCTTTCAAAAACACATTATCTCATAAGATAGCATAGTTTATCTTTCTAGAATAATTTCAAAGTTGATCAAAAGGAACAACTTCAAAATAGATTCTCACCAATGTAATAAAGCACCATGCCACAAGACTATGAAAAGTTATTTTTTAAAAAATGTTTAGAATATTACATAAAATTAAGTTATTTTTTTCAACCACTCCTTTACAAGGCCATGAGAAAAACGAAAATTAAAACTATACTGCAAAACCATCTTACTCCACAGAGAGTGGCTATCATTAAGAAATCAATAATAAATCCTAGAGAGACTGTGACTCCTCAAAAATTAAAATAGAAACACCATTATGATGCAACTACACCTTTTCCAGGTTTCTTTTTTTTTTTTAAAGTAAAAGTCATCACATTATAGTGATACGCACATACCCATGTTTACAGCAGCACAACAGATAACTCTTGGAAAGATCCCATACGACCATCCAATGATGAATGGATAAAGAAAATGTAGTATTTATACACAAGGAAGTACTACTGTGCCATAAAGAAAGATAAGCTTGACGTATTCATAATAGGTACACTTTGAGATCATATAATTAACTGAAATAAACAAGTTCAAATATCACATAAATTCTCTTATAAGAAACTCTTAAATGACAAACTCCAAAAAAAAAAAAAAAAAAAGGAGCAAAATATAAGACAGATAATAGGGAGATATTTTTCAGTTAGGAAGAGGATAAGAAATGGAGAGAAGGGAGGAAAAGGAGAAAAAGATTAGGGGCTGGGTAGATGGCTCAGTGGACTAAGCTTCCCTGACAAGCACAAGGACCTGAGTTCAATCTCCAGTTCTGCCAAAAAAAAAAAGAGAGAGGGAGATAGAGGAAGAGAGCGAGAGCGAGAGCGAGAGAGCGAGTGAGAGAGAGATTGAGAGAGAGAGAGGTATAGAAGGACACTCAGCAGTTTGATCCCTGGGCCTGCTGTGCCGGCCCCACCCCAGGGCATGCTGAGAAGGCAATTGAGACTGGGCGTGTGGTGCGCATCTGTAATCTCAGCTCTTGGGAGGCTGTAAACCGGTGATCACTATGAGTCCCATCTAGTAGTGAGACTCTGAACACCCTGTAAACCCTTCCCTAAAAATACAAAAAATAAAAGGAAATAGATAAAAAAAAAAGTTCTGAGGAAAAAAACTGAAATAGCTTTTACAAGTAGGAAAATGGCCAAGAGTTTGAAGGAGTAGGAAAGGATGAGAGGGATGAGGAATGAAAAGAGAACTAACATTTGCTATGTTTATGTACAACTCTCCATGATAAATATAATCATTCTGTACTACACACATGTACTAATAAGTAAATGTTTAAAAGCAATTCAAAGTAAAAATACAATATAAAGTGTTATACTGGATAAATAAGTCTTCATAAAAAAAAAAAACTGCTATGGGGAAAAAATCATAAATCCATAAGAAAAAAACTCATATATTCAACCTGATAAACCTTACGCATGCCTGTAATCCCAGCACTCAGGAGGCTGAGGCAGTAGGATCATGGTGAGTTTAAGGCCAGCTTGAGCTACATAAGCAAGTTCAGCAAGTTCAAGTCCAACCTGTACTACATAGTGAGACCCTGCCTCAAAAAAAAAAAACAGAAATCTTACAAAAGCTAAAGAAAATATAAAACAAACTGAGGCTTCCAAACAATAGATCTATTATAATTTAAAATGTTCCTTAATTTTAAAATGTTAATGCCCCATGAATCCAAACGTGTAGAACTATGTACAAATAACCAAGAATTACTTTCAAAAGCAAACCTCACTAATACCTACTTAGGCAAAGTCTTCAATTCTGAAACTGTTCAGAAACCTATATAACTTTCTAACTCTCTAAGTGCTTATCATAACAAAACAGGAACGTAAGTAAACATGCTACCATTTCTCCTGGCAAAACAGAGTACACTGAGCAAGGCAGCAACTAGGGAGGAAGGCCAGTTCACTATTCCAGCACCTACCTAATCAGTCATGAAGGGCAGGAAAGCACAGAGGCTTGAGCCCCAAGTTCCATATCCTGATGTACTTCAGGGTTCCCACTCAGTTCTCCCAAATTATCCCACAGGCATAGACATAGAGATAATAGGTTAAAACCATCTAGCTTATTTTATATTTTGTTTCATTTTAATGTTCATACTCTCAGATGAAAAGATGTGTCACATCTCAGAAGCACAGCACAGTGCAAGGATGAAAGATTACTTACTCAGTGTCAATGTCCAGTTCTTTCCCAAAGAAGGCTGCCATTAATGGAGCCCTTTCTGTGTGAGTGAGGCTCCTAAAGACAGCGCTGAAATGAAGCTTCTCTGGCCTTTTACAGATAGAAGCAGAAAGCAAGAACCAAAGAAAAAAGAAAGGCATCTGGGCAGGATCTCATATAGGGGAAAGGGGAAGAACGGGATGGTCAGAAGGGTCTGTTAAATGACAGAACTGGGCACTAATTTCAATGATGATAAAGAAGTACACGGAGGACAAAAGCCAGATCATTCACTCCTTAAAGCAATGCATCTCGACTTTGGCCAAATAGGCTCTCTTTTCTTCTGTAAGCACACATCCCAGGAGGCTTGGGGTTTGTCCTTTACTTTTGTATACCGATCTCATGCAGACCTCTGGCCCACAGATCCCAGAGAAATACGTTCTCTAGATCACTATGCTGTACAGTTCTACTACACACTACTGTACTGTTAATAGGTTCTTCACACCTTTTTGCTTATTACATAGAAATAGACCTTTTGTCGTCTCAAAAGGATTACTGTATATATGGTGCTATTAAAAGGGACCCAAATCACCATAGTGCAAAAGGGGAAACTTAAGATGATTATGACAGAATCGTCTTAACCAAAAAGGTCATCTTTTTTTTTTTTCTGTATTTTTTCATAAGATCTACAGGGTATACAGGGTCTCACTACAGAGACTGGACTCGTAGTGATCTGCCTATGTTCAGCCTCTCAAGGAGCTGGGATTACAGATGTACGCCACCACGCCCAGTCTCAATCCCAACTCAGCAAACCCTAGGGGCGGGGCCAGCAGGGCACACCAGGGATAGAATCACAGCCTCCTTGGCTGCCTATGCAGGTGCTTTTATCTGCTGAGTTATTTGATCGGCCTTCAACTTTCCAGAGGTAGAAACTAAGCTTAACCTACAGAAGTTTCAGATTTATATAGCCTACTGCAATGTACTTAGCCTCTTTAAGCTTTTGTCATCATCCACAACTGCAGCCATAACAAATCCCCACAACTCTACTGTAGAATTTTATCTCAGTGTCCACCTTGTAGCTGTGAAAATGCTGTATTCATCTGTACTGTTCATCAAAATACAACTCCTCAAAATCAGAGATTAGAATAAAAAGACACAAAAATACTATTTTTCTAAGGTGCATTTAAGTGAAAATATTATATATAATATATCCCTCACTTCTTCAACAAATTTTCTTTATCAGATTATCCTTGTTTCCTGGTTATGAAACAAACTGAAATAAAACCCAAGCATAATGAACATTGTACATAATATTAAAAATTTACCCAATAAAAGACAAAACATACTAAAAGGTTGTTTAGATAGTATCATAAAAGTATGGAGAGCAAAGTTAGGCAAAAATATTGTAGGTAGTCAAACAGGGCTGGGCCCTGGAGAGGTCAATGCAGAAGACAACTGTGGCTGGAGGTGCATTCGCTGAAGACCTGGCTTCAATAAAAAGGAACTACTCCCCCAAATAATTACCCTAGGAATAAACAGCAGTGATTGATAGTCTAAGTGGGCATCAATCACCTTTCCGTGGAGAATAAAGCCTCCTAAATCTACCCCTTCCAGGCAAATCCTTGCCGACCCATGTGCACTTCCCCATTTGAGTACCAGTGAATCAATACTACGCTAGTAAGTACATTTGTGGTACACTTATTGGTTGACTATAGTTTTGTCCCATCTCACACCCATCCTATGATTTGCTGTTGGATCAGTATTACTTAAGCAACTATATTTGTATACTTTCATTGATTGAGAAAGGTTCTGTCCCACCTGGTGGCTTTGCTCAATAAAATACCCTAGAGATGCAGGGCCCGTGGGCAATCCACTTTCTGGGCACCCTTCTGTCCCTCTCAGACAGAAGCTTTCTTTCAGTAAATTTTTTTCTACTCTAACATTATCTCTAAAATTCACTTCTTTTTTTTTTCACTTCCTCATTTTGCTGAACATAAACTCAATATTTTAGACATCTAGCAGGTTTGGAGTTTCATTCCTCTATGTCAAAGTCATCATGAATATATGAAAAAAATGACAGAATATTTAATTATTTGCACATAAAAGCTTAAAGAATCAATCAGCTATGGTCTGAAGATTTTTTAACACTGTCAGAAATTGAGGACCCAAGGAATTTATGTAACCTACTTTCAGATGTTACCATATAACAAATTCAAAATTTTAAAAATTTAAATGTCTATTAATTTATTCTAAAATGACATTACCATTAAGTGCATGTTTATTAAAATAATTAATTTACATAACAACTTTAGTGAGAATAGTACTGTTCTGTATTTTTATAATTTTCTTTTAAAGTCTATAAGACAAAAAAAGACAGCTGAGATTCAAAACCTTCCACTACTTTTTAATGTTTTGTGTAAACTCTAGAAATCTCTACTATTACTCATAAGAATATAAGTTTTTTAAATAAATGTTGATATACTGTTACAAGTAACTTCTATCTCAGACTATTTAAAATCCAACAAGAGCTAGGGATACAGCTCAGTGGCACAGCATCTGCCTGGCAAGTGCAAGGCCTTGAGTTTGATTCCTGGTACCAAAAAAACAAAATATACCATCAGCCAAATGAGATCCTTGGGGCCGGGGAGATGGCTCAGTGGAATAAGCGCTTCCCTGGCAAGTGCAACGGCCTGAGTTCAATCAC